GCAGATCTTTCCTGGATATGCCCCAAAGACAGTGTCCATCCAGGCTACATTTGCATCAGGAGTGGAGAGTGTCTGGGACTCAAGAGCCTGCTGGTGGACCGTGGACGTGTATAGTTGCCAAATGCGGCCAAAGCTGCCACCGGAGATCTGTTTTCACAGGTTTTGTTTGGAAACTCAGTGTGGGGCTTGGGAGCAGCTGGGAGTTTCTGAGTAATTGCATACCCTGGGGGTGGAGAGAGGCCAAGTACAACAGCCTGTCCCAGGGACCCAAATGAGGGCAATGCAGGAAGTCAGGTGAGGCCACCCCGAGGTCGGAGCTCCAATCACTGAGGATGAATTGCAAAGCTCGGGCCACAGGCAGACCTGGCAGCTCCAATGGCAGCAAGCTGGGCACCCCAAGCTCAGCTGTCAGTCCCAGAGGTCACTTCCACATCTGGGAGGTGTGGGTGCTCTCTGTACATATGAGTGGCTCACCCCTTTAAAGTAGCAAAAGTATATTTTAAAGTATAACCGAAACTTAAATAGACAAATGGAGGATTATTTGCTCTGCAATCTGTTTTCCTTTAAGGCTCAGATCAAATATCAGCTTTGAAGCTTTCTTTGACCTTGTTCTTTTCCACACCCCAGGAAGATGGATTGGACCCTCTTCTCTAACTCACGGCAGTTCTACCACCAGCATAACATTTAACCATTGATATGTAATCGCCAAATGTTGTTTAAATGCTCACAATGGGTGAAGCACTGTGGATATAAAGATGAACACGCTCCAGTCCTTGCCAAGGTTCCCCCCTCCTCTTTGAACTGCGAGCCACTGCCAGATGGAGATCCCACACTTCACCTCTGAGCATCTGCCTAGTTCAGTCTTGCCCATTTTAGGCCGAACTCATGAAATTGAATTCACCAAAGTACTCTGTGGAAATCACCAAGAGATGGTTCCAAATGGCAAACTCTTCTTGTACATTTGAAATCAACCATGTGATTCACCTGCCAGGAGAGGTCCTGGAATACCTGACCCAATCAGCTGTCATTTGAAGGTGGCTACAACATGCTTCATGGCATAAAGTAAAGCGTACTGCCCTGTTATTTAATTATTTAAAGTAATTGCTGCCAGACAGTATAAGAACTTTGGACTTCGGGGTGGCCCCAAGAATATATCTTTGTTATCAAGGAATGACTTGTTCTCAAACAAGATAAAGGGAGTCCTGGTGCCAAAAAAAACCCTGGGTTCTCATCTAGCCTTGCTAACAGAAGCCCCGTTGATCTAGGGTAAGTTACATTCTCCAGATCTTGATTTTCTCACTTCCTTACCAATAAAACGAACTCTTGCCTTACAGCTCAAAAGCTTGACTACACTGATTCTAAGATCTCCCCAGATCTGACTTTTGTAGTTTGATTGAACATCAAGTTCTTCCACAGTTTAGACTCTCTGTGCCTCTCTTGTTTTTTAATAGAAGAATAAAAAGACAGACTTTTTTTACCAGACAGCCAAGATTCCCAGGTGGGCCCCTCTCTGAGGGAAGCACATATGTTTGCCGAGATTCTGAAAAATGTATGCTCTTCAATTCCGGTGTTTTCCTTTAAAAGAAAATATATAGAAACCACAAACATATTTGTATCGTTCCCATCCGATGCCTTCATACTTGAAGGAAGTGTTGGATTTTCTTGTTCTTTGGCTCAAAAAGCAATGAGTGACATCAGTAAGCTAAAACTGCAAGTTCCACTGCCCTTTTCCTATTAAACTTCAATGTTTACTTCTCAGGGGATTGGCCAAGAAAAGTCCATTTGGGCTGGAACGCAGCATATTTAGTCTCAGAATTAAGGTAATTTCTTTGGACGAGTTTCAACCAAATCAATTTATTTCAGAGATGTTGGTGTTGGTTCCCTTTTAAAAATTCCAAAGCCCCAGGCTTTTTCACCATACCTGCTCTGCTGACGCAATTCCAGGCAGGCTCTTACACTGAAAGCCACACACTCTAGGTGAATGGGATTCGGTGTGCGGGCCTTGGGTGAACACCTAGGAAAAGGGTTTTATAGGGTAAGTGCAGATGTGTAGCTGTGCTGGCTCTTGGGAGCCATGAAGACCCATGGGCTTGAGGAGTTCAAACAAAAACTACCCTTTGTATCTATAAATTTCCTTTGATAATAAAACACATTCACATACATTTTTTCACTTGCTCCTTAAAACAATTCTGTGAAGTAGACAGAGTCGCTCCTTCCTCAAACTATCCTGCCTATCAAATCAGGAAGTACTATGAGCAAAGAGCTGTTAGGAAATGGCTGCTGGCTGGGTGTGATGGTTCACACCTATAATTCCAACATTTTGGGAGGACTGAGTGGGAATATCTCTTGAAGCCAGGAATTTGAGACAAGTCTGGGCAACAAAGCATCACTACAAAGATAAATAATCAGCTGGGTGAGGTAGCACACTTGTAGTCCCAGTTAGTCAAAAGGCTGAGTCAAGAGGGTCGCTTGAGCCTAGGAGTTGTAGGTTGTAGTGAGCCACAGCTTGCTCTGGGTGACAGAGTGAGACCATGTCTCTCAAAACAAATAAATAAGCAATGAAGTGTTTGCCCTCCAAGATGTCCCAATGAGAACACAATAGAGAGTTGTCAGATATAATTTGAAGACTGTTCAGAAAACTCTTGCCTAAAAATACTTCTTCTACTCACTTGTCAAAGGTGCCTAAAATTCCACCACGAAAGGATCACTTCTTTCAATGGAGGACTACAACTTATAATTCCTTGTGTTTAAAAGAGTTCCCAAAACAAGAGACATTCAAGAGCTAATAGCTATTACTTCTAGAGAAAATTTAATTATGGTGTCATGAGAACATTCTTTCCTTGCCCCAGATAGGCATATTTTATCCTTATTTTGCTAAAGGTTGCCAACATAAATCATTCTCCTTAGTAAATTAGCTTTTCTGTTGTCCTTGAAACAGCTAATAACCACCCTTCATTCTTCCAAGTCTGTGCTCATTCTAGTTGCTGTTTCAGGATCTTACCTTTCCCAGTTCTAAAGCAAGAAACTTCTGGATTTGTTTGAAGATTACCTATTCTTATCTTTTATTCAATAGATGAGCAAGGAGATTATGAAACTTATCCAGACCATGTAAAACACTTATTATTCAACCTGTCAAATGCTAATTTTTCTGATACTGCTTCTATGTGTTGTAACAGCAACAACTCAAAGCTTCCTCTTGGTTCCTTATTCCCTTGTTTTTTGTGTCAGGAACCTTAACCCCCTTTGTTGCATTATACAAAGATCCATGAGGATTTATGCAACTGAAATTGTCCAGTTCTGTGAAGATTGATTTCTCAGGAAGAAAAAATAGTAGTTGGCCCAAACTTCACTTTTTTAAAGATTTGGTATTCCTATTTGCATCCTACTTTGCCACTAACTAGTTATGTAACATGGCAAGCCACCACACTTCTGGATCTGTTTTTTTCACCAACAAAATAAGGAGTAGCAAAAATATTTATTTGCAGTTTTAGCTTACTGATGTCACTCATTGCTTTTTAAAAATTATATTATTCAGCAATCTTAGACTCTGTGAGGGGGTAAGAAAAGCAGCAAGCAGCAAGCATGGTCTCAGGAGCCTCAGGAAAGTTCTTACAACCAATACATGATGACTGGAATCCCTTTTCCCATGAATGAAGATTCCCCATCCCCTACTCAGTAAAATACCAGGTTTGCCCACTAACTGACTTTTACCCTGAAGTTGTAATGATTGGCAGCTAATTCTTTGCTGAAAGCCAGGAGTGGGATGGAGTAGCTAATGACAACACTGGCACATCAGGTACCAGAAACAGCAGGAAGAGCAGAACAAGTTCCAAGAAGAGGAAATGAAGCATTCTAAAGGTGGGCTTTGCCATAGGGTGGCCTTGGCAGGTTAGAGGGCAAAGGTAAGCCTAAGTTTAACTTTCAAAGCTCAAAATGAAACACCAGGGAGTCAGTCCTCCCACCCTATGCCAAAACAGCCTACCTCTGGAGTGCAACGCTGTCTGAGAGCCATCCGTCTCTGAGGTCAGAAGGTTAATGTCTCACCCTGGCTCAGGTCACCTCTCAAACCCCCTCTCTGAAACTCCAGCTCTACATTTTTTAAGATCCATATAATAAAATTTGACCCACGGGTCCACCCCACTAAAGGATAAAAACAGTAATCCAGATATGTACAACATTTCAGATACATGGAAGCTCCATTTGCCTCTGTTCTAAAGTGGAATGCTGACAGATTTATGATAATTTGGATATTGTCTTTCTTCATGTAGTAAACTTACTGTGGAGGAGATTGTGGAAAGTGGAAAAGAACCCAACTGTTCTGGTAAAATATATGGCAATGCCTATTGAACTCAAGATAAGCAGGAACTTTTATTTCCACTTATGACATACATTCTTACAGAGACTGAAGAAATAGGTTATGACCCTATTTAAAACTTGATCAGTTAACCCATTTTGAATACCATGCTTGGCATGGTAGGTTATAGATTACTTGAAAGAAAAGGCGTGTTTTCTTATTTATCATTGAATCTGTCAAAACCCCCAGCAGTTTCTGGCATGTAGTACATGGTCAATATTTATTATAGTTGATGAATGAACTTGAAAATGGCCATTGGAGAGCAGTGTGTTCTAGAGTGCACATATCACTAAATTAGGGGCGTTAGGATACCTGAATTTTCTATTTTCTTTTTTTTTTTTTTTGTCTTGTTTTGTTTTTCCCGTATAAAAAAGGGGCCCTGATATCAAGGTAGGGATGGGGACAAGAGGGGACATACCCCTTAGTGTAGAGAAATGGGAGGGGCAGGAGGAGAGGCCTCAAAAGGAAGAGCAGGAAGGGAATGTGATTAAGGCAGCAAAATATTCTCTGTAAAAAAGTTTGGAGGAGCCTCCACAGTCTCAGAGATGAAGGCAGAGACGGCCTTCTCAGTGGGTTCTCTCCACTTAAGTGTCCAGAAGAACAGAAATGGCAGTTTCTCTTCCTCCTGTGGCAGCCACTCCATCGCTCACTCCAGATTACCTTCATCCTTATGCAGACAGGAGTGCTATAGTGCTTGGAAGGCAGAGATTTGCTTGTGTGGGTTAAAAGTCAGCATCTCCAGCAGAAGCTGTGCTCCAGACTCCTCCACCTCAGGCACCACCAACTACACCAGGCGGGGCCCCCAGGAGAGAAGGCTCCCTGCCACAGAGACACATCTCAGGGCCAGTCATCCTCTGGAGGGGTCCCAATCAGGTCAAAGATTTTGCCCAACTGGTCGGCTTCAGAGTTTCCACAGAAGAGAGGTTTTCGATGAAACATCTTTGCAAAGATATAGCCAACACTCCACATGTCGACGGGTGTTGCCTATGTTGACTGCAGAAGCACTTCGGGAGCTCGATACCAGAGTGCGACAACCACAGGTGTAAGCGCCAGCTGGTAGCTGTAGATTCTGGCCAGGCCAAAGTCAGCCAGCTTGACTGTCCCTTCGCTTGTCACCAGAATGTTCTCTGGCTTCAGATCTCGATGAACGATGCAATTGGCATGAAGGAAATCCAGGCCTCTTAGAAACTGGCGCATCAGATCCTTGATGGTCTCCACTGGCAAGCCTGGCAGGGGTGCCTTATCCAGGTATGTCCTTAGGTCTTGGTCTATATGCTCAAACACCAGGGTTACCTTGATCTCCCGGTCGGTTCGGGAGGTGACACAGACATCCATCAGCCGGACAACGTTGGGATGCTCAAAGGCCTCCAGGCGCCTCAGCAAAGCCACCTCCCGAACTGTGCTGACGCGGAGGGCCCCCTCCAGCTCCTTCTCCATTGGAGACTCGCACACTCTTGAGGGCCATGAAGTGCCCACTGTGGGGATTGCGGGCCTTGTACACCGTCCCATAGGCACCGACACCAATTTCAGCCACTGGCTCATATCGAGAGGTAGCCATTCTCGATCGAGGAAGACCCTCTCGCCCGGCCGGGAGCTGCGGGGACGGCCCGTTATCGGGACCCGGGAGCGGGTTCCCGCGGCGCTAAACTCCTGAGCTCGGTTGCGGGTAGCTGGACGTTGTGGGCCGGACCATAGACGCCATACCTGAATTTTCATCATGATCGCGCCACTAGCCTATTTAAATAACCTATCTGTGCCTTGGTTTCTTGTTGCTGTGACTAGGCAGAGTGGTAGATTGTTTGCAAAGATGACCACAACAGTTCCTTTCATTCCCCATGCCCTTTTGCAATGTAACTTTGCCAATTTGCCATCAAGAAGTGGAGGCTGCTTCCCATCTTCTTGTATCTGGAGGAAGCTTGTGATTTGATTTGTTCAACAGAATGTATCCAAGGTGACCTTGGTGACTTCTGAGACGAGACCTTAGGAGGCCTTGAAACTTTTCCGCTTGTAGAACACTGCTCTGAGTTTACCACATAAGGAAGTTGGCCTAATTGTCTAGAGGAAGAGAAGTCATGTGGAGGAGAAGAAGGGCCTTGAACCAACAGCCAGAACCAACTTCCAGACATGTGAGTGAGGCCACCTTGGACCTTTTATCCCAGCTGCTCTATAGCTGACAGCAGTGACACAAGTGAGCTCAGGGAAAACAAAAGAGAGACAACTCAGCCAACCTACAGAATTAGAAGAAATAATACGTTATTTTGTTTTAAATCACTAAGTTTAGTGGTTTGGTAAATGGCAAAAGCTAATTAAGCCAGGAAGTTAGATAAGATGACTTCTATGGTGCCTTCAGCTTTTTGATTCAAAAGGCCTTGTGTAGAATCATTGTGATAATAGAATAATGTCCCTGAAAGCATCTGTATTCTACATCAGGGATCCTCAACCCTTGGGCCGCAGATGAGTACCAGTCAGTGGCCTGTTAGGAACCAGACCTCAAAGCGGAGGTGAGCTGGCAAGTAAGTGAAGCTTCTTCTGTATTAACAGCCACTCCCCATTACCCATGTTACTGCCTGAGATATGCCTTCTGTCAGATCGGCAGAGGCATTAGATTCTCATAGGAGTGCAAGCCCTTTTGTGAACTGCATGTGTGAGGGATCTAGGTTGCATGCTCCTTATAAGAATCTAATACCTGATGATCTGAGGTGAAACTGAGGTGGTGATGCTAGTACTGGGGAGCAGCTGCAAATACAGATTTACATTAGCAGTGAGGTTTGACTGCACAGAGACCATAATAAATCAATTGCTCGCAGATTCATATCAAAATATTTCATAATTATTTTATCATATATTATAATATAATAATAGCAATAAAGTACACAATAAATGTAATGCACTTGAATCATCCAGAAACCATAACTCCCTCCCATCCAGGCCATGGAAAAATTATCTTCCATAAAACCGGTACCTGATGCAAAAAAGGTAAGGACCACTCTTCTACATCACTGATTTTGCAGAGGAAAAAACTGAAGCACAGAGAAGATATTTGTCCAGGTTTGTCTTATAAAAAGTTGACTGTGTAGCATAGATTCTGACAGGAAGGAAAGCAAAGCCTGGTTCATGCTCCATACCTTCACAAAGTATACCCACATGCTTAAGAAGATGGTACTTCTACTCTGTTTCACAGATGAAGGAGCACTCCTTTCTAAAAAGCAGCTAGTTCCTCATAGAGAAAACCCCAAGAAACACACTAGTAGATCATCATTCCTTTAGGAAGGCCCTAAATCTTTCTACCTTCCTCTTGGTATCAAATTCAAATGTAATTCAAGTATTCAGCTTAAATTTGGAGAGCTTCAGGCTTTCTAGCACACATTTCTAATATTCATGTTGATTTCTTTTTTTTTTTAATGTGTGGGTGATTTTTCAGTTATCTTTTTTTTTTTAAGATGTGGGGTACAATTCAGGGTTACATACAAATTTCTGACAATGAATTTCTCCTTTCTCCACTGTATCGTCTCTACCTGTCTTAAGAAATAATCACTCTAGCCTAAGTGTGGGCTTTCTGCTGCTTTTATCTGCATGTCTGAAACTACTCATGAATATTCTCCCTGAAGTATGAGCCATTACTAACATACGGTACAGTCTGGCATTGATTTAGAGCCAACCTGGGAATTTCAGAGTTGGACTTGGATTTATCTAAGAGGAGTTAAATATTTGGGGCAGGGGTGGAGTGCTGTTCCAACAAAATGGCAAAAGTAAACTTTAAGATGTGTGTCAGTAGAGAGAATTAGAAGAGACAATTAAATAAATACCTGGATGGGAATTCTAGGTCTGGTGCCATCATCAAAGCACACAACATCCATTTTAGACACATTCTAAAGACAATTTCAATAAGTCATCTGAGAAGATGAATCAAATAAATTCCAAATCTTAAGGACAGATCGGTTGCTATGTGGCTTCTTGCAAGTGGACCATTAAATCAATTTTTTAAAAACCAACAGTTTCTCCTGTCATCACCAAGTGAAGACGTGGAGGAAAAAAAAATCAGTTAGCCAAAAGAATGACATTCAGATGTTGAAAGGGTGAAACCTGAGGAACACGACCAAACCTTTGGTAAAAAACAACAAGAAGTTAGTGTTGAAAATGAAGACACAAAGGAAAGAGTTCTCCAAGGCTTAACACATGGTCTGCGTCCACACTTGCTGACTGGCATCAATGACTTGCCTAAGAAAACATAGTAGCTGTATTCCCTCTAGCACCTTCTCACCTGTGGTTCTAACTACAAGTGACAAGAGTGAAGTTGGAGGGGGAATGAAGACCTGTACCTTCTCACACATAACTGCCTGGCACTTCTGGAACCAGCTGTCATCTAAACCTCTAGTTTTTTCCAACCCACCTCTTATACAACATGGGTGACACTCCCAGCATTGGAAACATAGTCACAGATCCAGAGGGTTCCACATATGCCAGAAATGAAGCACCTAGTGACAGTAAATATCAGTATCCTCGATGAGTCCAAATACTTGCATTTGCCTTCTATGGCTGGTTATCTCTATGGGCGTAGACTAAATAATATCCGTCAAGTCTCTTAGAGTTCTACTGAAGGTGTAATAAAAGGCCCCTCTTACCCCAAGCCTTCTTTACTCTGCTACATATTAACTGTGGGATCTTAACCTACCTAACTCTTATCTCTCAATTTCCTATCAGCACAATAATAAAGTTGTGAGGTTAAAATGAATTTAAAAGTATTAAGAGTTTAGCACATATCTGGCCTGTATAAGGTAAGTGTTCAATATATGTTAGCAAAAATGAAATGTTCAAGTAACTCAAAAGAAAGAAGAGAACTAACTAGTCCTCTAATATCATGAATGCATTTGAAGTTATAATAGAAACCTGCCTTACCTTCCCAACTTCCCCATAATGTATCTGTTCATCTTTCTTCAAAGAGTTTGGTCACTTTTATAAGATATTTTTGTTAGCCGGGCTCGGTGGCTCAGCCTGTAATCCCACGCCTTTGGGAGGCTGGGGTGAGTGGATTGCCTGAGCCCGTGGGTTCAAGACCCGCCTGGGCAGCAAGATCTCATCTCTACAATAAATCAAAAAATCAGCCGGGCGTGGTAGCGCGCACCTGTAATTCTGGCTACTCGGAAGGCTGAGGCGGAAGGATCGCTGGAGCCCAGCAGGTCGAGGCTGTGGTGGCCAGGAGCAGCCACTGCACTCCAGTCTGGGTGACAGAGTGAGACTCCAACTCAAAAAAAAAAAAAAAAAGATATTTTTGTTATAGATTAGCTTTTTCTACTAATATTTATTGAAGAACAATCATAAAAATTAGTATAAATATTTGTATCTACTTCATTAAAGAAAAATTAAGTGTTGCTTGTTTGTTTGACACCAATAGTGTCTATTGACCTTTAACTAAGTTTTACTAACTGGAAATTTAAAGTCATGCCCATAAAAGAGGTATTAAAACACAAGGACACCAACTTCCTAATGTTCATCTTCTTAGAGAAAGGGAGAGAGGGAGCAAGAACTCACTTAATAATGAACATATTTTACATTGAAAAACATTATCTGAAAACTGAGTAATTTCTTCAATTTCTCTTTATCCTTATAAATTCAAATAAAATTAAAATTCTCTAAAGTTAAATAATCCTTGACTAGTAATATTAGGGTAATGATTTTTAAAAATTTCTTTTAAAAACTATTTTGTAGTTTCCAAATGTTCTAACACAAACTTTTATTAATTTAATAATAATAATAATAAATATTATTTTTTGTAATGTATGCATTGGTTCAGCATTCAGACTGACCAATATATCATGTGCTTATTTCATCAAGCTAAATATATCTCTTCAGGGACCAGAAAAACTGCCAGGAGAGAAGATAGGGTCTTTTACCTAGGGACCTTACAGCTTATGGAAGACACACAGATAAAATGAACTGAAATACATTTAACACCAAACAGGATTTTCCGAGTAAATAAACTTAGAACAAGGGAACAAACTGGGACTTTGGGGCTTCTTCATAATCATATCACCTCTAGCCTGCATTCACTAATTTTACAACATGAACTTATAGTCAACTACCTACCATGTACTGACTAGACTTTAGAGGTACAGTGATGAATAAAATGCCCTTCCTGCCCTTGTCAAAGTCATAGGATAGTAGGAGAAACCGAGACATAAAAAGGTAATCAAAGTTTAGTTATTTAGGTCTTGCATTGCTCTTTCATATTTCTGTTCATTCATTCAACAGAAATTTACTGAGGAGTTTTTCCATGTTCAGGCACAGAGAGAAGAATAAATAAGAATAGAACTGTGTCCTCAACAAAGCTTCTGTGTGACTTGCTGTGTATACTATACAGCCTCCAGTGAGATTGGCAAAGTTGATGTTATCAACAGAAAATTGGGGCTTGAGCTAATATGCACAAAGTCACACAACTACTAAGGACAAACCAGGGCTGGAACCTAGTACTTTTGTTGGCCATTTTGGGGGAGAGGGCTTTCACTCTGCATTTTTGGTTTTTATAAGAGTAGAAATCTACTCTTGTTATCATGACATATGTCTTCTCTTATAAATGAATGGGAATAAAAACTCAAGCACACTAAGGAATACAAGAAAGGTTTTTGTTCAACTGTTCACTCCTTCATTCATCCACCCA